TTTTTTGTTTTTTTTTTTTTTTTTTTTTTTAGGAGCCAGAATGGAGAATTCTTGCCAATCAGCTGCAGGCATTGTTTGCGTATTCTGACAGGTTCACCGCTCACTGTCAGAATATAGGTTGTTTTTTTTTTTTTTTTCTTGTTCAACAGCGTAGGTACTAGCCAGCTTTAATCTTCTCAGTATTGACCTGGCATAAAACATTGAAGTGGACCTTTACCCCCTTTGACTAAAAATCACATCACTGTGCAGCTCTGCATGCCGATATTAAATCATCTTACAGTCCTTTCTTTTTTGCCACTTCCTGGTCCACTTTGGCAATGATGTCTTCATGCCCATCCTGGGAAGGACACATCAGCAGAACATTGCTGGGAAATCTCATATGTAATCTAATGAGATCTCAGGGAAAGGTATTTTCCTCCCCTGAGATGATTTGTATGGTCACATGTGCTTAAGTTCCAGGAAGGGAGATGTCCACTTTAACAGTGGTAGGTTTTTTATCGTTTATCACAGCAGATATGCTATAAAACACTCAGCCTGGTGTTCCTCTTTAAAGTAGATGCAATAAATAAACAAATACAATTTAGATTAGTTCTACCTTTTTCTGTCCTTATGCACACAATCTGATCCCCTCTACAACCTGCATAATAATGCTGCTGTTTAGCACTTCCTGTCTACACACATGCAGTGTTGGCTGCAAATCTCATGGGAAGTTTCTGGATCAATACAACAGAGGATGATGCCTGTGTAATGGGTTTTGAAACATCAACCTCTAGTCTCTGTTGGGAGACTGTATGAGAGGGTGACAAGGCAGGAGCACAGCTGGGAGCTGGTATAGAATTTTGTTACCCTATAACAGAAAGTATCTGCATAGAAGGATCATCAGGTGTTAAAAATGACATTAACAAATTATTAAGGATTACATGACATTTTAGGGAGCATATTTACAGCTGCTATACCATTACAGGATTGGGTAACAAATTATTTGCTTCATAAAGTATCACAGATTAGCTCTAAGATTTGTATATAAACTAAATACCTAAATTGCACCTGGAATCCACAGAACATACAAGACTTGTAAATTGCTACAAAGTGTAAACAGTACAACAGTCATTTGGTAAGGTAGAACTCATTCAGCTGTCCAAACCATAGACATTAGTTGAGAATGCAGTCCTCAGCTCTGCAGAGGGGGTTCAATGACAAGTACTGCTGACAGATCAGAAAGTAAATAGTTTTTGCTTCCAGCTGCTCCAAATAGTAGGACTAGTAAAAGACCGTAAAAGCTCTTCTTTGGTTTACACTAAATGCTCACAGCTGTGCTCCCCACCCATTGGACATATTTTACAAGATGCAGGGAAATATGCACTTACATTTCAATTAGGATGCTGGTAATTACGCAGAAATTAAACCATTCTAGGACTGAAGACACTTTGACAAAACATTTGAACTATATTAGCATGTACAGATTGCATGACTGACAACGACGTATATATAAAATATTTCATTCTCCACAAAAAAAGATTGTAAAGTTCTGGTTTGTTCACCCACTAAGAATACATTTATATATACCTTATGGTGTACATTTACTCTGCTAAGAAGGCAGAATCATCTTCTATCTCTTGAGGACTTCTGCACAAGTTTGCTATGTTACCTCTACCTTTAACATTTGCAGACTCACTTGTGCTGCTGCAGTCTCCCCTAATATGCAATATCAGTTTGGGTAGACTAACACAGAGACAAACAGGAGCCCAGTTTATTCAATGTCATACATGCAAAATGCAATGTACACAACTTGGGATGGGAATGGAAATCAGCATAGAGGTGACTGTGTATGGGAGGAGTTACCAAGTTGTGAAAGCCATTACACAACATCATCAATAGGAATTGACATGGTGACCCTTTCACTTTAAGCTATACATGATCAGAAGATTGAAGGTACTCAGAAAAAACTAATCATATGAAGCACACAATATACTGAACGCATTGCACTGCATCCGAAAATATTCATATCAATATAAAAAGCAGCACTTACCGGCTGTGGTGAGCGATCTGTATGCATTTTCAGAAACCTAGACAAAGAAATAATATATTACATATAAAGTTTACAAATAAAACTACAATTATACTAAAAGTAAGAAAACAAAGTAAAAAACTAAAACCTGATGTCTGTGCAGCTGTAGGGTTACTGAAAATAAATGTGTTACAACAGGTACTGAACTCAGTAGACTCAATATATGCAAAAAAACATGAGCAATGCAAAAGCAAATCAAAATTTGACTTGCTTCCGAGTCTGATACCCATGTACATGAACATGGTACAACAATGAAGTTGCTTATAGGAGATGAGAGCACAACATTAACCTTATTTATGTGCTGCTCCTTCGCTGTCCAATCAGTAGGCTGGGGAGGAGGAATGACTATAGAAGTAAAACATCTGCTGACATTATTGTATAGCCATAATCTTTCCCGAACACCATACACATTACTGTTATTTTATGCCTAAACAAGCATACTGTATCAGAGGAACTCCTTTTTACACATTCATCCAATCAATGTGTATGCTGTGTAAAAGGTTTAATATATACTCATAGAGCATCTATTAATAAACAAATGTTAGCAAGAACATTACTATGACAACATCTTTTAACGTGCGTTTGTTTAAAATAAACTAATTTACTCTGCATATTAATATCTCGGTCTGAGCAATATATTTTTTGCTTCCTGTTAAAAGCCTCCAACCTTAAATTTGATTCAATCTAAAAAACCTAGCTGATGCATTGAACACACTATAGTGGAGTGATTTAAAGTGGGTTGACTAGCAAATGCAAAACAACTTGTCTTGAGTACAATGCAACTCAATACTGCAATTGTGCCCAGCTCTGACTAGTGCAGACACTGAACTCATTATACATCATTACTCATCCCAGGAGAAATGGCTGCTTTTGTGTGTCAAGATCAAGGCCATGTGCAGCTTGGTGTTTGCTTTGTCATATTAGCGGGTCCTGTAACAGTGCTGCACAAGCCACACATCTAAGATAAGAATTGACCAAAACGTATCCTGTAACTTACTGGCTCACAACAAGAAAACAGGATGAAAAATGGAGTGCAACGTACACCCCGTGGAAGAAAACATCTGTGACTGGCACTTCAGTTGTCAAAAACAACTTAATATACGTTCTAGAAGAAAATAAATACTTGTTTAAACTGACAGGAACTCTGCAACTGCTAAAAGTGGCCTTTACTAAAAGCTTGTATAGAAGGGTATCCTTAAAATACACAAAAATGTCAAACCTAATGGTGTATGGCAGCAGAAGACCATGCCAGCTGTCCCTCTGGTCATCTATAAACAGGAAATTGAGGCCACACTGGGCACATCCTAACCAAAACAAATAGGGTTATTCACAAAGCTGGCGCAGGCAGCCGAGTGAATAACAGTCGTAGTGAAGTGAGCCAAACGACGTTCAGCTATTCACTACGACTCAGTACGTCTGATTTCAGTTGTACATCCGCTGCACTTCGGTCAGCCGAACAACTGGCCGAAGCCAGTCTGACGCCATGGTCAGTTCCGCCCTGTTTAATGACAGATCAGCGTCTCCAGGTCATTTGGGGATGCTGATTTGTCATTACAACTGGGCAGAGCCAGCCGTGAGATCACGGCTGGCTCTGCCTAGCTGTCATTTGCGAGGCGTGCCTTGCTTCGGCTGTCAATATTCGGCAGTGTGAATATTGATAATAGTCCGTACAGCAGCCCTTCGGTTCTACTGAACCGAAGAGCTCGCGCAGCCGAAGCTACGGCTGGATTCTCCGGCAGCTTTGTGAATAGACCCCTAACTGTCGTTTGATCTGACACACATTTGGAACTAAAATGCCAATGTCCATGACATGACTGTATCAAACCGGTAGATAAAAAGTCCTAGCAGTTAACCAGACAAACAAGCTCTGGTTGACCCTGAACCACTGACTGGTTTTAAACATGGACTGCAGCAATGCCTTATTACACACATCATTATCATATATGCCAGAGAGTTATGAATTTTATTTAAAAAAAAAATACACATGGCTTAAGTAGTGTAAGACATCTTATGCTTCTGACTTACTACCACTGGTTTTTAGAATTGTTTCTTTATTCCAAAAAAACATGCCCTTTTTTTATGACGCATAACCGAAGATCTTGGTCACTTTTCATAAATGTTCTTCACGGTTTTCCTTTGTGCAGTTCCTGTGTGATGTGTTTGCTGTGACAACAAATCACTGTTTTGTGAAGCAGGTGCTATTAGTTTCAGTGGGAATGGCGTAAACTAAACCCAATTAAGAGGTCCTTAAAGGGATACTAAACTCAGGAGTTAAATCTTAAAAATACATTCAAGTACCCTAACTAATAACCAAAAATGTAGCTTGTTTAATACTCGGCTTTAGATCCTCCAATTATCTTTGAATTGGTGCTGACACTGTCCTTCCTTCTGGAGGGTGGCTACTTTTGTGCCCCATGGTCCCTGTGTGTGTTGTAAAGTAGCCACCACTCCAAGCTCACTCACATGATTGACTACAATCTCACATGTAGTTTACAAAATTTGTATTGAGATTGTAGTCAATCACAGGAGTGAGCTTGGAGCGGTGGCTACTTTACAACACACACAAGGACCATGGGGAACAAAAGTAGCCACCCTCCAGAAGGAAGGGCAGTGTCAGCACCAATTCAGAGGTGATTTGAGGATCTACAGCTGAGTGATACATAAGCTACATTTTTTGTTAATAGTTAAGGCGCTTGAATGTATTTTTAGGATTTAACTCCTGAATGTAGTGTAAAAACCCACCTAAACCACAGAAAACTCCAAATATTATTTGATAGTCATTTATACAGGATTACTCTGTGGAACTGGACAAAATGTAATGTGTTCATATCCTTCAAGTCGAGATAAAACTAAACTATTATTTTTGGTTGAACAACACTGTATTCTTCCAGGTGTTACTGCAACAATGTTATTCTAATAAGAGTTGACACAATGTTTGGGTCAATCAAATACAATACATTTCTCGGTATAGGACTCCTCTTTTTAGAACAGTCCATATAGAATCCTTCTAAAACAACTTAAGTCCACTTTTTTAAATATTTTCACAGTGCAGGATATGGTGTAAATTCACATTTGTGCAAATGCAGTCACCGATTGAAATCTGAAAGTCCATACCAACTGCAATTTTCCCCCAATGTCTGAAAAAGAGAAGTTAGAAATCAATATCTTAGTTTAGGTTTGATGCGCTCTATCCCCATTTCTTGCTTTTGACTTTTACTACAGAGAACTGCACTTCTGGACTGTGCCTTCAGTTTGTTAGAGTGCGTTACAGCAGCGCATAGTAAAGTATTAACCAAAGTTGTTTCATTTAGAATGGCACCCTGATGGGCCTACTTTTTAGTGTACAATATTTGAGTTTGCTGACCAGAGATCTCCTTTATACCCCAAGTCCCTGTTCTCACTTTCACACAGGGAAAGTTGATAGGTTTCAGGGCTCTCAAGGCTCATAAGTTGCAATCTATGGAAACATGCAGGCACTTACAGCGTAAATACCTGCCTTCAGCTCTGAGTGGCAGCTTAGTTTACAGATGAAAAAAGGTTTCCTTTAAATTTAGCTTGAATTATTGCAAGCATCCTAACCCCAAGACCCCATTTACACTGAGCTACATCCAAAAAAGTGTTTTTTTAAGGGCGATTTTGAGCAGAGCGACATTGAACTACAGTGCACATTTTGTCACGCTACGTAGCGCGACTTTTCAGCTGCTACATTGGGCTGTAACCAATCAAAAGCGGTCTTGATGTGACATCATTCCTTCTTTCTTCTATTTCTGTGCAAAAGTGACACTTCTGTAGCGCGACATTGAGCTACACCATTAAAGTCTATTGGGCCAAATCGCACAAAATCCGTTGAAAAATAGGTCATGTTCGAGCTACAAGCTTGAGCAATGAGCTACAGGCGAGATTGAACTGTGAGATGTGAACAGCTCCATTGAAATGCATTGGAAGAGCTACATTGAGCCCATATTTGAGCGATTTATCGCTGTGTGAACAGGGTTTAAGGTGCCTCTCAATCAGGGTGCCCTCTGGCTTCCTCTAGTGTGCCACAACATTTTTGCACGGCATCATGCCTTTCCAAGGTGCATTCTGGCTCCCGGCTCCTCTACAGGGCGTACAAGGGAGCTGTACAAGCAATGCACATATGGATGGAGCTCTGTCACAGCATAGCAGCCCACACTGGACCCCACCCAGGCTGAGGATCCACTCCAGTTCTCATAAGGTAAGGAGACTGGGTGGACCTTAGAAAAAAATTACATTAAAATGTTTTTGAAATGTGTATGAGAATGTCTGAGCCTTTGAGATTCTGTATGTATGTATGCATGTATGCATGTATGTGTTTTTGAGGGCCCTAGTACAGTCCATTACTCTCATTAGTACCATGTGATTAACGCACTGTACCACACAATCGCACCTACCGTGCATTCTGGTGTGGGAGGTGTGTTGTGTTGCCATTCATTTGAATGGTACCCCAAACGCAGCTCCCACCTACAGTTTGTATGCCTTGCTGGCGTTTACTACACTTGGGGTCGCGACTTAATGACCAAGGACAAATGTGGGTCCTGAGGTTACACAAGTTGAGAACCACCGATTTACAGTATGTATTAAGATGCTTGGCTTTAGTCCTTCTTTAAAGGGAATCTGTTGGAATACAAGTATATAATCTGCCATTTGTTTTTTGGGAGTAGGCTCTTGATCCTCTTTAGCCATTCACCAAAAAAAGTTGAATTCACTGTGCCACAACAAGCCTGTATAAATAATGTGCTGTAACATGTGACATACATAGGTGTTCCAGGTCAGTGACTTATTTAGGTAGTGAGGAAAGGATGAGGATGACAGCCCTAGAGCCTACACCTTCAAACAGAACTCAGCAATAGCATTTTGCATGCAGAGTTTTCTTTGAAATGAGATTACATTTTCAGTTACTGTGCAGACATTGACAGCTCCATATTAAAGTGACATTAAAGCCAATTTTTTTTTCCCCCTCCCCCCATGTAAA